TGATTCACTACCATACAAGAAGGTATCGGGTCGGGTTCTGAATCATCCAAGGTGTAGAATAAATATCCCCCGTTTCATACCCACTGCATCAAACCTAAGGCTTAACAGAGAACTAAGAATATGATTCACTACCATACAAGAAGGTTCAATATCGGGTCCTGAATCATCCAAGGTGTAGAATAAATATCCCCCGTTTCATACCCCCTGCATCAAACCTAAGGCTTAACAGAGTCGTAAACTAAGAATGCTTTCGGATTCTTGCAAAGCTCGCCGGTTTCCACCAGTAAACTACGATAAGTGCTGTCTTGCCTGAGACTCCTCAATCACAAACTACGTTGTATCAGTAATGTTCGACTTCAAGTATCTGCTGTGATATTGGAGTACCGGCGACATCAGACCTGAAGTTGATTGAGGATTTAAAGAGAAGGTCCATGCCGTTCCCAGACTTCTTTAAGCGACTTGCAGACCCTTCAAGCGACTAGCCTTTCGGCTACTCCGATCGCCGTTTTCTTCACATACACGGGCAAGTCTGGAATGCGAAAAATCATACGTGTCGCTAAACAGGCCAAATAGCTCGTGCAAGTTTAAAGCAGTGGAAGAAAATGGAGTATTTTGATAGGCTGTCAACAGTTAATCGCGTTTCATCTTGACTTAGGAAGTTCAAACGATACTTACTGCTTGCTTGGAGGCGGGGCCGTTATTTTGCCATGACTTCAGAGGCCGCAACAAGGGATCACACTGTCAAACTGTGCACATACAGCAGCCATCATCTGAATCCATTGGTAACTCCTTTGAGTGCTCATTTTGAGGAACAGCCTCTTAGAGGATTTGATGTCTGCGGCTAAGAGGCAGAAGTTTAAAATAAATCTGGACAACCATCCTCAAATGGCAGACAGAATGGACTACCCCCAGCGCAAAGCACTGGACTATATCGGAGTGGTATTTCGCTATGCGAAATAGCACCATTCTACAAAAGTGGGAAACGATTAGGCCAATCCTCAAGACTTTTCGACCGGCTAATTGAATGGTACATCCGCCAAAGAGAGAACTGGGTGACACCACTACAGTCCTTAAAGTACTGAGTCATGCATCATTATTTGTTCCCTTATCCAACGGTAGGAAATACTCCTGATTTTGAATGTTAGGGAAGCGGGCTACCCCGGCTATACGTTTTTTATGAGCGTTCGGGATGCCCGGTCCGTCACCTGACACCAACCCAGCAGTTCACATCAGTTCCTTAAAGATTTATACATACAAGGCACTGGGATGGCATTTTTCTTTTCCAGCAGGTCATAGCTTAGAACCGTGGATACCAAGGGTGTATCCCATCATCGCACCGAGGGATTCAAAGTCAAAGTGCTGACTTAGACGGTTATTTATCTGCTTCATATACAACGGCTATCGAGTCATGTAAACGAGCCATTGACCCCGAACGTAGACAAAGTTGCTCGATCTATGATTCCACAATGATCCACAGTTTCCTACCAAACAAATACTTACGATAGAAGATTGAAGCACCTGGATAAAATTCCAAGAAACACGTTGTAATTTGTTATATTCGGGTCTACAGCGAAGTTTTTATAGACTTCTCCATCCCCGGTGTTGCCCAACTATAAAGACATTACCGAATACGGCAAACATTACCTTGGCTTTAACATAGACGACCTCCTGATTACAACATGAGGAGTCCCCTGTATTCATAGTTTCTTACAACACAAACCCGGCATCAGCGAAGTCAAAAGCTCCTTTTCCTTTGATCGAAACTTAGGATCCGGTTTTCATAGGTGAAGAAAGGTCACAAAAAGCGTCAAATTCCCACCTTAACCAATATTAAATGGCGCGGTTCTCAAGGTCACACTTTGAGGGTGGTACAGATTTCACGTATTCTGGATTGATACACGGGACGAAAGCTTCCGGTCAAGCTTTCCGGGTCGCGTTTGTTCTTGCCGTTCAGCAGCTTGCACTCACCTGAAAGGCACAAGAGAAAAAATGGTGTAGCACGACTTTGAACTGGGTACTAGATGCATCGTAAACAACCGTCGGAGAAAGGTTATTCCAAACGAGAAACATGAGAAAAACTGTTACCTAATATAATTGCACGCTCTGAGCCTGGAAATCCACTTGATTGGGTCAATGGCGAAAAAGCTGTCGAACAAACCTAGTTCAAACAGTGCATAATTAATTCCTAGTTTGTTTCAGAAAGGTTTGACAAGCAGTCAGTGGATTATGTCCATCGGAGTGGACGGCACTCCAGGAAAAATAGGTCATGAAAACGGAGACGCGTCTTGTACTCCACAGATAGAAGGCCTTCAGCCATTATCATGACCGCCCGCTAGATGCATTCAACGAGGGTTTAGTTCCTCTTGAGTACTGAGTAGGCAACTTGGATGACATACAAGACGTGGTCTGATATATGACTCATATAGTGTTGTGGACTTCATAAGTACTGGACGCGGCCTGAACGCCTGTAAAAAGAAAGTTATTTCACTCACCAACTCCCCGAAATGAGAAAATTAGTTGCCTAATTAGAGTGTGCGCCCTGGGCTTGAAAAACTTACCATCTTTCCGCTGTGTTAGTTCGGTCAAAGTTGAAAGCAGAAACATGGTCAAACAGAGCGCAAGTAAGTATCAAGTCTCCTCGGATACTTCAGAGTAAGAAGGTAAAGCACTGCGAGACGCTTTTAACAGCCCACGAATCTGAGTCCTGCAACCAATTTTGCAGAAGCTGGTTGGACGTTCTCAATGAGGTTTACGTCCTTCTTCCGCCCAGAGTGGACAACTTGGCTGGCATATTCAATAAGCGGTCAAACGTGGGTCCCATATAGTATCCATGCGTGTAATACGGAAGAAGTTTCGCTGAACCATCCGTAGAACAGCGAGCCGATTTCCCATGGTGCAATGGGAATAATATTTTTGAAGAGGGCCAGGTATCCAAATCCGTCTTGGTATCTATCCTTGTAATTTCTTATGGTCTTTTCTCAACATACATGACAAGAGTGTTCACTTAGTATCCACAGAATAGCAAACGGACGCACTTCCCATCATTCAAAGGAAGGTGCCAGTCCAGCAACCACTGCTTCACAGCATCTGAATCTGTTTATAGGGCGCTGGCGTTGGAACTCCAGAATTTGAAGTCGTCTGCAAAAGTAGACGTGTACCTAAAAGCACACATGAAGGCCTGTTGATGTTAATCAGATACAAAACGGAGCTTTGAAGAGCTCCAGTGGGTACCAAATAGGAAAAAAATCCAGGTCGTGTCTGGTCACACAGAATGTTCTAATCTGGTGGTGACACCTTAATCCAGTGTGGAGCTTCTCCCTGAATCTCACAAGATTGGAGCTTGTAAATTAGTGGGACGTGTGAATGTCAAACGAATTTTCTGAAAACCCAAAAAATATGGCATCTGATGTGAGTCTCGCTTGAGCTAAGCTGTCCATAAACGTGAGCATGCCCGCCATCCCGTCATCTTCCCAGGCTTCGAACTTCGGCAATACCCCGGTTGGACGGCCCGGTTGGCTGTCATGCAATCCACCTGGCCTATGATCTACATTCGCAGGATCCCAAAACGGACCAATATAACCTGCGATCCCACATCAGCTTTGTTCTACCTCGTTTCATTGGCCAGGCTGAAAAGAATACCGCTACTTAAAGAACCGCGCTTCCCAGCCCAATGAACTTCATTTTGACGTCCGTAACATGGCTGTCCGAAAACCGAAGTATGTCAGGCCAATGATGGCACGGCATCGCCATACCCAGTTTGATAGCACACACACAGAATTTCTTTACTTATCTGGACCACTCCTTCCATTGACTGAAAATAAGAACAAGTTCTCCACGAGACCTCAGCTGCCATCATGACATTTTCATTCCAATCTTCTGAAACTTTCGCTCGAAGTTAACCGTTCTCGTGTGTCTGTACTTCCCGCAAAATTCCATTAATTTATTGTTTTGCCCTCCCTCCCTTTGTTTTTTGCCCGCCACCTCCAAATCCCAACTATCCTATCTAGCTCGGCCTTCTCGTCAAAACTGCAGAGTAACTGTGGTTCCTTGCCCATGGCGGTTTAGTGGTGACCACGGACAATGCTCATCTCCTATGACGCCATCACTTTTCCTAACCACCCTGCTCCCACAATCCCCGCCAGACATGCCTGTATTCTGACTGTAACATTATGATCATGTCCAACGATATGCTACTCACAGGTTGGAAATCGACGTTATTATTATTATTCCTATTACTCCGTTGATTCGCAGGCGGAATCAACAATCGTTATTATTGAAAATCTGGGATCGATCTGTGTTTTGCTGAAGGTAAAAGTTGTTGTTACTGTGGTGGCTTAAGTCAGCGCGCCTCAAACACATTCCATCGCCTTGCGCGGTAAGCCAGTGAGCATCACAGGCACGTAGCTTTCGGCGATAGGCGGTCACCAGTTTTGTAGACCGGTGGGACGATTGTCTACTCCTATGCAGAGGCAAGAGTACCTCCGTCAAGCCACTGACCAAACACCAAATAAAGATGCCTTGCCAGTATGAGCAATGTTCCCCTCAGGACACATAGGGGGTTTGGTTTGTCCAAGAGTTGACAAACACCTTCCTCCGTGAAGACGAATTTGGCTAGAGCATGTAACGCCTTGCAAGGATGTGACGCGGTCGCTGAGGCGGATTATAGGCCTGCATTGTGTTTCCTGCATTCCAAACCATGGAACGAGCTCCGATCCCTTATCTATACTGCGTCATCTCATGTAGGTAGAACCTCGATTCATACCTTTCGGCTGAGGGAGCAAAGAGTATTTTCGCCTTACAGCTTACGTTATACACCTTTTGAAATAGGCTCTAAGCCCTTCTAACTTGGGCCACCATCTCAACTGTCCTGTTACCTGGTCCTAGAATTTGCACTCACCAGCTTGAACCCCTTAGCGCTGACCCTCCCAAGTGTCCTTGTTCATTAACCACCATTTATCTGTCTCTTTACGGACGTTGACCTCCTGGGAACACATTGGCACCTGCTTTTTGATGACTGGATGTGTTGCAGATATTGCCTAGGGCCTGCCATCGTTATTATCTTCATTCCAGTCTCCAGCGACCGCATTCTATTACCTTACCCAAGGCCTTAATCTTCTATGCCCAGCCAACGTATTCTTTGTTCTTCCAAGCCTGGTGGTTCTGAGCCTGGTCTTCAATTCAGAAGAGCCATAAATGAGTACGTTTTCGTTTGTTTGCAGCTAGATTGGGCCTGTTATTGTAGTAACTTGCCGGAAAACACAGAGAACTCAACGCAAATGAGAGTTGTCCTTTTGATGTGACTTAAAAATATGCATGGGGTAGATCGATGGTACTCTGGAAGGCCCACCGCTAACATCTACGTGAAAGTGTTGCAATCTTCATCTTATTTGGGTTGTACTACCCTTAGTCAAATCCATCACTTTGACATAAGAAACACGTTCTGTCATCTTGTCATCTGAAGCGATCACATACATGTAAACTGTGAGTTCTTTCTTATTTACTGAATACCAGCGGTCACAATGTCCGGATGTCAGCCGCCCCATTAACCGAACATCACGTCCTTTGAACGGACGTGTCACATGTAGGCTACGGACAAATTACGGCGCGTCCTGATCGGTCAGAATGCCGGTCAACATGTATCGAGCATCTTTGGCTTGACGCATCTCGCCCACTCACGAAGAGTCTAGCACGACCCTGTGGAACATTCTGTGATTACCCCATAAATGTAGGTGTAATGGTATTCCGTTGTCTGTTTAAACGGTTGCCAGAAGCTACCGTGCCTTCTGACATACCTTACTGGGTGGAGCATGAAGCCGGGGGACCGATACAGAGTTGCATGACCGTTCAGCAAGCCACAGCAGCTGGCGACAACCCGGACCCATGATGTCGATTCCGGCAGGGTAACTCAAAATGATTTTACAGCAGCAACAGAAGCAGTTTTTTAAGAAGCTCAAATGAGGCTTGTTGGGTATGTCGGTGAATGCGACAAAAAATACAGGCCTCTGTCTTCTTCCACAGATGCTGCTGCCAGCTCGATTGCTGAATTCAATTTCGACACTGAATTTGGACGAACGTTTGGAAGTTGGTTCAAGAAATATGAGGACATGTTTCAAACCAAGTTTGCTCAGTTTGATGATGCATGGAAATTCCGACCGTTGCTGCAGAAACTGGGGACAGCTGAACGTAATCAGTTCACAATTTTCATACTCCACAAACTCCTCCGTGACCTCGGTTTCGCAGATGCGGTCAAAATCCTAACCTAAATATTCGGTGAGCAAAGTTCTTTGTTTAATATTCGTTGTCAGTGTTCGAAGATTACCAAAAGGGTTACTGAGGATTTCATCACGTATCCCAATGTGGTCAACCGAGAATGCAAGCTCTTTCAGCTCAGCTCGGTGACCGAGGATCAAACAAAATGTCTCATCTTCGCGGATGGTCTTCAATTGCCGCACGATGCAGATATTCGGGCCCGGCTTCTGATTCGAAATGAACAGGATCCAGAGTTGATTCTTCAGAAAAACTATCACCAAAGGCCAGCATCTTACCAATCTTAAGGCCAATGCTGCAGCCATTGTACATTCCAAATCAGCCTGATCGGATGGTCTTCAATTGCCGCACGATGCAGATATTCGGGCCCGGCTTCTGATTCGAAATGAACAGGATCCAGAGTTGATTCTTCAGAAAAACTATCACCAAAGGCCAGCATCTTACCAATCTTAAGGCCAATGCTGCAGCCATTGTACATTCCAAATTCTCTCAGCCTGATATGGTATGCAAAATATTTCCAAAAGAAATTCCAATTCCAAACAAACTCCAAGATAACCACCCACACCCTTTTGGTTTTGTGAA